GTACTCAGCACCCTCTCCACTAGTAGACATCACATACATGGCAGATAGAATAGCATCAAAGTCTAGAGCATAGATATCAATCCCCTTCTTCAGGAGATCAAGCCAGCGGGGCAGCTCAGTGGCCTGAGGGAACTGAACACGCCAAGCGTCGTCGAGACGAGAGAAGCAGCGCTGTGTGGCGTGCGGTCGTCCACACTGCTGACCAGTGCGGTCACCAGTGCGAATGACGTACGTGCAGCTAAGACCACCCCCACCCCCGTGCTGAGAGTACCACTCACGGACCTCCTGGGGCGAGAGAGTGTGCTGCTGGCCCTGGCCACCGCCAGCGCCTCCACGGCCACCACCACCGCTGCCACCTCCTCGACCACCCCAACCCCTGCCGCCGCCTCGTCCACCGCCACCCCAACCGCCGCCTCCACTCCTGCCACCTCCCCCGCCGCTGCCGCCACCACCCCCACCGCTACCACTCGCCCCTCCAGCCGAGCCACCACCCCCACTGCCTCCACCGCCCCCACCGCCGCCTCCCCCGCCGTCACCGCCACTACCCTTGCCCCCTTTGCCCTTGCCGCTGCGGCGTCCGCTCGAGGCAGACGCAGTGCCGACCTTCTCAGTACCAAGAAGGTCGACAGCAGCAGCAGAGGCGACAGAGGGAAGAAGGGGGGAAGGAGAACACCCCTCAAAGAACGGGGTACGGGGGTCGCCACGAGAGGCACCTACAGCGACTATGCTAGCCTCAGCTGCAAGTAGCTCCTTCTCGAGGAGGGCAATGGTGAGCTCAGTGGGGCAACGAGCTAGGAAGTGGTCCCTGACAGCACGCAGTGTGTCAGGGAGGCGGGTGACTAGGTGATAGAGAGTGAGCCAGAGTGGAGGGGGGTGCGTGGCAAGGAACTCAGCAGGCATGGCGGCACGGAAGCGGGCCTCACTAGTATGGAGGTGCGTGATGAGGTCAGCGACTGTGTGAAAGGAGGCCAGGTCGGGAAACAGGTAGGGGAGGGAGAGACGGCCTAGTGCGGCAGAGGCAGGTGAGGAGTAGCGAGCAACTACAGCTGTGTACAGTGCCGGTGCAGTCTTGTGCTGACCAAAGTGCTCGCGTTCGTCTATCGGCAGGGAGTTGCGAATGGCGAAGCGAGCGTGGGCATCACGAGTCTGCCACTGTGAGCGAGCAGTGCTGTCAGCAGTAGCAGCAGGGGCAGTGACAAGGCCTAGGGCGTGATCGTACAGTGAGATGTCATCCTTGGCTGTGAGCTGTAGGTAGAGGTGCAGGTCATCGAGCCAGGTGTCAAACTTCACAGGGCGGCCCTCAGCATCGAACACGAGAACCTGTGGGCTAGCCATAGGAACAGTAGAAATAGCAGCAGTAGCGGTAGGAGAAGCAGGTAGGACGAACCAGGTAGGGCAGGGCGGCGCGGCTCGGGTCAGGTCGGGTCGCGGCTCGGCTGGGTGGCGCGGCTCGGCTCGGGGCGCGCGGCTCGGCTCAGGTCACGGCGGGGACGGGCCGCCCGCTCTCCCTCTTGTGCTGCGGCGGGAACGGGCCGCCCGGGGCCTCTGGGTGGTGGGCACGGGTCGGCGAGGTAGGCACGGGGCCGGTTGGGGCCCTAGAGGGGCGAGCGCGGGGCCGATCGGGGCCTGAGCGGGGCTAGCGCGGGGCCAAACGGGGCCTTGACGGGGCTAGCAAGGGGCCGACGGGGCCTGAACGGGGCTAGCGCGGGGCCGACGGGGCCTGAAACGGGGCCGAAGGGGCCTGAAACGGGGCTAGCGCGGGCCCGATCGGGGCCTGAATGGGGCTAGCGCGGGGCCGACGGGGCCTGAGACGGGGCTAGCGCGGGCCGACGGGGCCTGAAACGGGGCTAGCGCGGGTCGACGGGGCCTGAGAGGGGCTAGCGTGGGGCCGACGGGGCCTGAAACGGGGCCGACGGGGCCTAAACGGGGCTAGCGCGGGGCCTGAACGGGGCCTTAAAGGGGCCGACGGGGCCTGAACGGGGCTAGCGCGGGGCCTTCAAGAGGGGCCTCTAGGGGCGTGACACGCCGAGGCGCCCTAGGGCACGGGTAGGTAGGTAGGTAGGTAGTTACGTAGTGGTGGGCCCTTAGAAAATTTCGGTCCTAGGAAGGACCTGCTCTATACCATGTTGGAATCACTGAACAGGAATGGATGAACTAGCAATGAAAAGAGTACAAGTACCTAACCCTAGAATTGTGTACCCCCTATAGGCTAACCCACTGTAGCCTAAACTAACACAACATATATAATGTTTGACACTGCTGGCGTTTCCTTGCCTCTGAGACTCCCTCCCCTGCTCTGCTCCGCGGCGCCTTAGCTCCTCTGGGCACTCACTTTTGCGATGGCCCGGCCTGTTGCAAGCAAAGCAGCGCCCCTTAAGCGGCGCGGCAGCTGCATTCGTCGCAACGGCGTGTACGGTGGCGTGCTCGATCGGTCCCCGAGGGCGATGTCCGTAATAGGACCCCGGTCTCGGACGGCGCAAAATGTCGATTTTCTCGGCGAGCGCGAGGATCTCGTTAAAATTCGAGAGCCCGCGTAGCATGATTTCGTGCGAGATGTCCGGCTTTTGCCCTCCGACGTAACGGTCCACCCGCCCCGCTTCGTGCATGTAGCCGACTTGCTCGCATAATGTGAGAAAACCGCTCGTGTAGTCTTGAAGTGATCCGAGCTGCCGCCAAGTACGCAGTCTCTGACGCGCCGAAATAGAAGCCGCGATCGGCTCAAAGCGCGCCCGAAGCCCTGCGCACCACGCATCCCACGTGCTGTACTGGGCGGTTTCGCAAAATGAACTCCAGGTGACGGCTGGGTCCGTGGGCTCTTCCTCTTGCGACGGTGGCTCGTAGGCGCGTGGCGACGTCACGATGACTCGCCACCCTCAGCTGCGAAACAGCATAGCGAATCTTCGCTGCGTTCGACTCGACGTAATTCGCGTCGAAGAAAACGTTCATCGTGAAGACCCACGATTGAACCGTCGGACCTCCACGTTGGCTCGGATCGAAACAGGGCGGGCGCTGCGGCTTGAGTGGCATTGGTGCCATGATGTCGTGGCTGCCACTTGTTGCTGCAAACTCCACGTGCCGACGAGCTTCGCGAGGCCCACGCGGGCTTGGTGCGGCCCTATTTCTCTCCATGCCAGGCATCGATTGAGCGGCGCCATCACTGGCTGCGCCTGAGCGCTGTCCCACGCTGTCGTGTTGCGTCGGTGTGCCTGATGATGATCGGTTCTTCTGATTGCGCAGGTGCATTTGCGGGTGCTTGTGATGGTGCTGGCGCATTCACTGTTGATTGCTGGCGGGCGGAGTCACGTTCCGCCGTGAGTGTCGCAATTTCGAGCGCCGAGTCTTCGAGTTGGCGCACGAGACGGTCGAGTTGCTCCTGCGTCAATGTCGCAAGATTAATTTCGGCTATGGCGGGGGTGTTGGGCAAGCTCAGCGAGAGCCTCTGTCGTGGCCGTGCGTGCTTACGAGAGAGCACTTCGAGCGGCGGTCCTTGTTCGCTGAGAGACGTCTACCCCCCCAGAAAATTGAGATAGTGGGGAAAGCGAAGGTGTGGGTGCGGTCCGAGAGGAGATCGTAGGCTCTGAATACCAAGTGTTACGAGTGCAATTGAGCGAGCGAGCGAGAATTGCACTATCGAAGCAAAACAATACAGTTGAGCGAAAAGCATGAGCGAAGTTATATAGCGAAGCTAGCGTGGTAACGGTAATGCGGGAAATTGGGGTGCGCCACGGGCCTAGCGCCGAGGTTGGGAATTGTCGAGGCGGAGGTCCGGAGCGCGGGTTACCAACCGAACCGTGAGGTTGGGTCGCATCGTGAACAGTGGCGGGAGTCGTGGTCGAGGCGAGTGTCGCGAGCGGGTAACGTTCACGGATGGGTGCCGATGGCGGGAACGAGCATGTACGCGGTAAGCAGGGACGCGAAGTAAGGAAAACGAATTTTCCTTACACTACGCAACCCAAAAAACGGTCCAGGCTCAAGATTCTAATATCTTTAAGAGTAAAATCAAGTTAGATAATTGCAGTTATTATGTTATTTGACATAATTACTCTAAAAACTGGAAAATTACCAAGTAGGGAATAATAACTCGGCAAGGAGCTGAGTTGGGTTGGAAACTGATTGATAATTACTTATTAAATAAAGATAAACAGATTACATTCCAGTGTAAACTTCCGCAGTCGTGACTGAAGGTGCGCTTACTATTGCGTCGTGCGCGCTTCGACGTTCCACTCGCCCCCAATCCCTTGCCCCTTGCATTTCCCCCTCTGGCCCCCCACCCCATTACCCCACCGCACTTTCCCGCAAGCCCCTGCGCGCCACACTCCTACCTGCGCCAGCAGCACCGCGTCATGCCTGGCCCCTCCACCCGACCCCTTCCTTGCCTGCGCTAACCGCAGCCGGCGCCCCCTCCCCCCGTAACCCCCCCTTCTTGAGCGACGCTTGGCGCACCACAGCGAACAAACAAGCAACCAAATTGCCCCCACCCAATTGCCTCACCTCCCCTAACCCAACCCAACCCAACCCAAACCAAACCAACCTGACCCACTTAAACCCAGCCCAGTTACCCTGCCCGTCTTCGCCGTTCCCCGCTAGCAGTGGCAGCGGCAGCAGCAGCCCCTCTATAGTGGTCACAAGACAAGACGTTAAGTTTCTCCAAGGACCGCCTATCTTTTCTGCACCCTGCTGCCTTTCAGCTCACGCGCTGTATTGTTTGGTGATACGGAAGCGGAAAGGTTCCTTTGTTGGTGAGCTGTGCTGCCACTCAAAGTTGTCGACTAGTTTTGAGACGTCTCAAAAGTCTTTTTGCTCACGCTGTATGGTTTCGTGATACGGAAGCGGAACAGTTCCCTGGCTGGTGTGCTGTTCTGCCACTCATAGTTGTCGACTAGTAATCGCCTCAAACGCGCGTAGCACCAGTCCGCTCCCTCTAGCCCGCGTTGAATCTCAGCGTGATTGTCCACCAATAGTGACAATCACGAGCTGCCATTTCTACGAACCGCGACGCCATGGCCCCGCGCCGCCAGCCAGTCAGCGCGTTGGACCTGCGGTTGCGTCTGTCGGCATTGCTCTTCGTCATCGCGCATAGCGTCCTTCCGCCCGCGTGCCTCGCCGCGCCTCCGCCCGAACACTCGCCGGCGGGGGAGGCGGCGAAGCTCCTGGCGTTCCTGGAGCAGCCCGACGGGCAGTTCACGCACTTCGCCGCGGCGCTCAAGCGCACAGGTGCGCGCAGGGGAAGCCAGTGCGGTGAATGCAGGCGGAGTAGATAATGCAGGTGATAGGACCGGGGCGGAGCGGAGGAACGGGGAGGTGGGAGAGGAAGGGATGGACGCGGGGACGGGACGGGAAAGGTGTGAAACATATGTATCTCTTGGAGCCGCGTGGGCCGGCGAAGCCGGACATGCATACCAAAAAAAAATAAAAAAATGGAGCCGCGTGGGAGTAACCCGGCCCCACCTTCGTGCCGTTTTTTCGCGGCGCTCCCACTCAAGATGACGAGCTTCCTCCTTCTCTGCTTCTGGAACACGAAACTGTCCCCCCCCCCCCCCCCCCCCCCCCCCCCCCCCCCCCTCTCCCCCCTCCCCCCTCCCCCCACCTCACTGGAAAACTCCTCTGCCAGCCGCTGTTGCCACTTCCATTGCGTTTTTGCCGTTTCTCCTCACGGTATTCCCTGCGCGAACCTCCCGCTTGACTCGTTTGACTCGTTTGACTCGCCCGACTCGTTTGACTCGCCCAACTCGCCCGACTCGCCTGACTGACCTCCTCATCACCCTCCGTTCCCCCCTGACTGACCTCCTCTTTCTCATTCCCCATCTCCGTTCCCTCCTATTTGATTCTTGCGCCTCCTTCATTATCACCCCCTCACCCCCTCACCCCCCTTCCCCCACCCCAAACCCCCCGCATTCCGCTTTCTCCCCCACGTGGCGCGCAGAGGTGCCGTCACTCCTGCGCGAGTCCCTGGCCAACGGCACGCGCTTCACGCTGCTCGCGCCCACGGATTCCGCCTTCGCGCGCCTCGCGGCGGAGCACCCGCGGCTGTGCGCCGATGCCGACTCGCGCCTCACCGTCGCCGCCACGCACTTCGTCGGCGGGCGCTTCCCCTTCTCGCGTATCGCGCTCAAGGCGCCGGGATTCGAGGTACGCCCGGCTCGGGATGGGGAATGTGAGCGGAGCCCGGAGAGCGATGCGCGGGGTGGGGGGATGTGGAGTGGGGAGCAAAGAGCTAGACCGTCACAGCTCCTCTCGCTTCTATTTTTCTGCTAAGCTGCTAAGCTTCAACCTTTCTCTCTGCCCCTCAATCCCCCCCCCCCCACACTTCCCCCCATTCCCCCCACCTCCTCCCATCCCCACCACACCTTTTCTTCCCACCGCAATCTCCTCCCCCAACACCCCTCCCCCTTTCCCCCTCCCGCAGCTCTTCTTCCCCCTTCTCTTTCCTCCCTTGTAGCAGTTCACTTCTTTCTTCCCTGCCCTCATGCCACTCCTTTGCTTTGTGGCGTCTGGGTCTCGGCTCGCCCGCGTTTAGCCACATGCCCATGCCTGCCTGCCACGTGGTCGGCCCTGGCGTCATACGCACCCAGCTGCACCCAGCCGGATGGACCACCCTTGAGGCTCTGGGGAAGGAAGGAATGTTATTGTGTGTGTTGCGAAGCATGTGCGTTCTCCTCATTGAGGGGCTGACTCATCTAATGGGTGGGCCGCGGGCCCTAGGAAAGGGAAAGCCCAGTGCAAATTCAGCATGCTCAGCTGCTGCTTTTGTCACCAATCCTCCCTTTTTGTATGCGTTCACCCCTCCTGCCTTGTGACTGAGTCCCGCTATACCCCTCGCCCCCCCTGGCAACAGTTCCGCACAGAGGGAGTGGACCTGGTGCGCTTGCCCGACGCCCCCCTGGAGCAAGGCAAGCGGCGCGTGCTACTGGCTGTCAAGGACGCCCCTCTTGCTTCACCCGCCGGTGCTGGAAAATCAGACCTAGGTGCTGAAGTGAAGGGTCAAGGCAATGCTATTGCTGCTGCTGCTGCTGCTACTGCTGCTGTGCCATCAGCTGCTGGTGCAGGGGTGGTGGTGGGGCAAGGGTCTGCTGCGGCGGAGAGTGCTAAGGAGTTAGCAGCGAGGGCACATGTGGTACGACCAAACGCGCTGATTTCCCGCCGGATAGTGGTGCATGGTATCGATGCAGTTCTCGCTCCAAATTACGTGCTTGACTGTCAACATTAGTCCAGAACGATTGGAAGGTGACATGAAGATGTTACATGATGGCACATACGGTACAGAAATTGCATGTTAGTAAGGAGAGTCAGGTTAGTTGTCTAATACACGTTTTCGCAAATATTTATAATAGGTAGTATATTCTGAGACTTAATACTAGGGAAATGGTTGGAATAGTTTGAAGCTCCAAACAGTTTTTGTAAATGCGTTTCCCAAACCTTATCAAGGATCTGCTTGTAACAAAGGTTCTCGCGCTTCTCCAAGGAGGATATTTCCGTGTTCCCATTTTGTAAACGACGAAAGCTACCCTCCTCCTTTAGCGCCAAGCTGTACAGTGTACCTACTTAGGCGCACAGATACTTTGCAGTGCTTGGCAACAAGGAGACGGAAGCGATTGCTCACACAATTTTTGTCAGAAACTCGCGAAGCCTCGGGTGGGGGTAACTGAAAAACTCTCCAATCTTTCCACCGCCCACCAGACAACAACCCAGCAAGGCAAGGCGAGCAAGACAAGCCAGACCACTAGCGGACAGATCCAGTGACGCCAACTAGAACCGCAATCCCCCCACTCACCACCACCCACTCACCCGTGCGTTCTGTTTGGATTCGCTTTTCACGCCACATTCGTATTTCCCCCTCCTCCTCCCCTCCCTTCCTTTCCCTCACCTCTCCCTCCCCTCTCACTCGCTTCCCATCCTCCCATCTCATCTAATCCCATCCCATCCCATCCCATCTCATCCCATCCCATCCCATCCCATTCCGTACCATCTCATCCCATCCCATCCCCTCACCCATCCCCCCATCCCATACCATCCAACCCGTCACATCTTCCTTCCCACCGACTCATGGCAGCTTTCACCCGCTCCACAAATTTCATCCGCTGTTGATGTCGCGTCGCGTCGCTTCACCTGCTTGATGGATGGCCACTGGCCAGCTAACTCGGCTAATCCTGCGTGCTTACTTACCTTCCCAGCAGAGTCAACGTCATTAATCTCTAACCTGCACACACCTACGCTTGACTTGTTATAGCCCATAATCCCTTTTTTCTACTAATAGCTAGGGACAGTAACATTTATACGAATTGGTGGCCAAAAACAGAACGTTAGGCCTTTCCGTTTAGTCCGTCACCCATCAGATAACTGGTCATCGATGGACGTAAACGATCTCCCCCCGATAGCCCAGCGAGACCTCCTTCTCCATCCGTCAAGCCAACGCTTCCTAACCATGAACCTCGACGTCCAATGGGAGCATCCCACGTGGTGGCACAGCGAAGGAGATGTCGGCGCCGCGTGTCCTCCCCTTCCAATTGCGACTCCGACGATTCGCGATCGTCACGACCCTCGCGCCGCCGCTGCTGCCGGGAGGCAACGGTCTTGCGCGGCGCGCGCTGAATGCGACGCTGCGGCACCGCGTGAAACCGCGACGTCGCGGGGTGCAAGTGATTGTGCCGAGTCGCCCTCGTCACAACCTCAGCGACTCCACTCCGCGACGCGACCTTGTCGAACTTCATCCGCACACGCGGCTCCAGCAAGACGCTCGCACGGCGGCAGCCGAGCCCGCAGCGCGATGCTTCCATTCATGACCGCCGCGTCGCGGCAGTCGCACCTCTTGAACCTCCTGACCCTCTCGCGCTTCTCGCGCTTCCTGTGCCTCTCATTCCTCTCATCCCTTTCGTGGCTCTCGTGCCTGTTCCTATGCTGCTTATCATCGCGCGTATCGGGCGTGGGTGCAATCGCGGCGGGTCCTACCAAGTCCGGCGCGCTACAGGGCTCCACGTTGCTCCTCCCCACCTCCTGCTTCCTCGCACTTAAGGTACCGCCGCTCCCGCATTCTCGCGGCTTGCTCTCCGCACTTTCACCCCTCCCTTTTCCACCCTCTCACACCTCTTCCCGTTTCCTGGACTCTCCCTCTCTTCGTGGAAAGTATCTGCTGGGAGGAGAATACCGGTGGAGAACGGGACAACGCGTGCGTGGGCACATCCCCTCCCTTTCATTCTCGCACCTTCCTCCTAACCTCTCCCCTCACCCTCCTTTCCTCACCCTCCCCGTCTCCCCCGTTCCCGTCCATTTGCGCCCGCTCCTCCCCGTGCAGGCGTGCGACTTCGCGTTCAACGGGTCGCTGGGCTTCGTGCCGCTCTACTCGCTCGAGACCATGCAGCCCAACGCTCCCTTCTCCGACGGCGTCCTGCACTCGTAACCTCCGCCCTCCGCCCTCCGTCGCCCTCCGCCCTCCGCCCTCCTCTCTCCGACCTCCTCCCTCGGCTCCGCCCTCCGCCCTCCGCCTTCCCCCCTCTTCTCCCACCCCACAACAACCCCAGCTCCCCACCCCCACCCGTGCCACCCTCTCTTCCCCCCCTCGCTCCTTTTCCCCGCCTCTCTGCTACCCATCCTGTTGTTCCAACCTTTTCCCTCTGGTTGGTTGTTTCACCATGCTGTTGGGTTCGGCGCTTTTGGGTCTTCCTGTTACTCGTGACTAGCTGTTACTCGCGCCTAGCTGTTGCGAGCGACTACCTGTTGGGTTGGGCGCCAGGCTGCTGGCATGTGTCTGCGCGTAGCTGCTGCTGGGTTTGATCCGCCTGCCTTGTCGCTGCTGATGCTGCACCTTCCTCGTGCTTGAGTGTTTTCAATGCCATCCGATGCACCGTGTTCTCGCGCGCGCGCGCGTGTGTGTGTGTGCCTGTGTCATTGTGTTCCGCACTTGCGGGCTTTGGCCCTGTGTTGGGGATGGTTCTGAGTTTGTGCCTGCCTGCCTGCCTGCCTGCGTGCCTGCTGTGCAGCAAGAAGGCAGCCCACGTGGTGTACGGCAAGCTCAAGGACCGATGCAACGTGGTGGACGCATGGAATGAGTGACACATCACATCCCGTCTCAACGCATCGCACCACTGCATGGAATACCAACTTTTGTGTACTTCAATGCTCTACCACAGCAGCATAGACCCCCCAAGCATGGAATGCACAGCAGCATAGATACAGCCGGGTAGTTACAACGGGTGCTATAAGGTGAGTACAGAGATACATGTCATGGTTTAGTCTTCAGGGTGTCACTCTATCACTCTCCCTCCCCCTCCCCCTCCCCACCCCTTCCGCTCTCTCGCTCTCCTCCTCTATCTCTTGCTCCCTCTCCCATTCTCTCACTCTCCCGCTCCCTCCCTCCCCACCCCACCCTCCTCCATCCTCCCCTGGGCCCTCTGTGTCCCATGGGGCCGAGGAAGGCGCCCCAGTGTCCGCCCTTCACCGTGGTGCTTTTGAGTCGACTCAACAGTCCTCTCTCCGACTCTCCCCATCCCCATCTCCTGTTCTCCCGCCCCCTGCCCAATTGTCCGCCCTTCACGGTGGTGCTTCTGATTCAACTCAACAGTCCTCTCTCCCCCTCTCTCTTTCTACTCTCTCTCCTCTTCCTTGGGGCAGAGGAAGCTGCCCAAGTGTCCGTCCTTCACAGTGGTCCTACCCTCGAGCTCCTCAGACAGTCCCACGATCCGCCTCGCCACCGCTGCTCCCATTACCAACAGCCTTGTACGTGTGTTTCCATCGGCTTCTCCTGCTGCTGCTGCTGCTGCTGCTGCTGCTGCTGCTGCTGCTGCTGCTGCTGCTGCTGCTGCTGCCGCTGTTGTCTTCTCTGCTCCCATCACCAACAGCCTCGTATGTGCTCCGCCCCTCCCCTCCTCTGCTCTGCTGCACCTATTTCCTCTAATCTAACCACCTGTGCCCGACCATGTGCCCTTTCTTCCTTCCCCGCATTGTTTTCCTCTTTTCCCCCGGCCCCCACTCTTCTCCCTCCTCCTCCTCTTCCTCCTCCTCCTCCTCCTCCTCCTCCTCCTCCTCCTCCTCCTCCTCCTCCTCCTCCTCCTCCTCCTCCTCCTCCTCCTCCTCCTCCTCGTCCCCCCCCTCCACCGCCACCACCACCACCACCCCGCAGAGCTACAGCGGGGCCTGCTTCATCCTGTCGTTCGCGCAGCTGGTGCTCAAGCTGGGCAGTGGGCCCAAGGCCATGGTGCGCCTCTCCCCCGCCGATGGCAACCTGCAGTTCCCAGACGTGAGTGTGCTCGCCTTGCTGCAGCAGCTGCCGTGTAATAGGCATTGCTTTGGGAAATCTCGGCCTCCCCCACCGACGGCAACCTGCAGTTCCCAGACGTGAGTGCTCGGCGCTCGCCTCGCCACAGCTGCCATGTACCAAGCAAGCATTCCAGCTGTTTTTTTAGAATTCTTGAAACCCATGGTGCGCCTCTCCCCCGCCAATGGCAACCTGCAGCAGTTCCCAGACGTGAGTGCTCGCTTCACCACAGCAGCTGTTGTGCTGCCGTGTAATAAGCATTCCTTTGGGGTCCACCCGCCGCGATGCTGGCTTTCAGGTCCCACATGTGAGTGCTTGCCTTGCCTTGCCACAGCTGCTGCCGTGCAATAAGCCATTGGGATTCTCAGCCGCGATGCTGACTTGCAGTCCCCAGATGCGAGTGCTCGCTGCAGCTGCCACATCAGCATCTTGTTGGAATTCTCAGGCGCGGTGCCTACTCGCAGTTCCCAGGCTCGATCGCTCGCCACAGGTGGGTTTGGAGCCTTCTCATAGCACTCCCAGACGAATTTGTTTTGCACGGCTGTCGAATTCACATTCTTTTGGGATTCTTGGAAACGACGGCAATCACCACAATTGGGTTTCAACTCGATGCGAGTGAGTGCGTGCGTGCTCACAACAAGCTTGTTTCCACTCCGCTTGATGGATGTGAGTTGCTTGCAACATTCCCAGACATGAGTGCGCACTTCTGCCTGCTGTTTCAAGATGGTAGATGTAAGTGGGACTGAGCGGCTTTCCTGTATGAGTCCATGCATGCCACAAGACAAGACCCTGGATTCGCTGCTGCTAGCAAGCCTATCATCTCCCATGTCTCTCTCGCCCCTTCCTTTTCAATATCATCTGCTTGCTCTGTTCTTGAGACCTCTCATAAGTCCTTTCTATATCATCTGCTTTCTCCGCTCTCTTTGCTCACCATGTTCGGCTGGACCCACTCTTGCAGGCAAGACGGTGTGTGGTGTTTCGGACATTCTGACAAGCTGTAAGGAAAATTCCTTTTCCTTACTTCGCGTCCCTGCTTACCGCGTACATGCCCGTTCCCGCCATCGGCACCCATCCGTGAACGTTACCCGCTCGCGACATTCGCCTCAACCACGACTTCTGCCACTGTTCACGATGCGACCCAACCTAACGGTTCGGTTGGTAACCCACGCTCCGGACCTCCGCCTCGACAACTTCCCAAACCTCGGCGCTAGGCCCGTAGCTTCGCTATATAACTTCGCTCATGTTTTTCGCTCAACTGTATTGTTTGCTTCGATAGTGCAATTCTCGCTCGCTCGCTCAATTGCGCTCGTAACACTTGGTATTCAAAGCCTACGATCTCCTCTCGGACCGCACTCTCAGAATAGGAATGCAACGGAATGATTGGGATTAGGGTTTGCAAGGGTACAAATAGGAATCCTACAAAAGCTATACTCTCTAGGGAGTACCTCACTGCAGCCTATCATAACATTAACATTTGACCCACCCCCATAGACTAAGTGAGGGACATCAGAGCAAGCAAGGTGAAACAAACGGTCACAAGACCAGTCAAGGCAAGAAGCAAGGCAAGCTCAGGGTGGATCTCAAGGACACCACACAAATTCCGAGCACAGGCAAGCGGCCACAAGACCAGTTCAAGAGTTCACTAGGATATAAATAGGAAAACACAACAAGCAGAGCTAACAACAAGACTACAGCAACCGAGGGCCTACCTCAACAAGCCCCAACTGCACACAGAACCTGTGGTGATCACCAAGCGCCAAGGCCTTGGTGAAGACGTCTTCAGTGTTGGCCTCTGAGGCCACAAAGTCCAGTCGAGCCTGGCCGCGTCGCTGCAACTCTCGCAGGAGGAAGTACCTCACGTCAATATGCTTCACTCTGCTCTCCAGTCGAGGCTCTCGACACAGGAGGATCATGGCCTTGTTGTCAGCGTACAAGGTCGGTGCAGAGCGAGGCCGCTCACCAAGGTCGGCGAGCAAGAAGGTCAACCAGCGAAGCTCCTGTGCCGCCATGGCGCCAGCGTAGATCTCTGCCTCTGCACTGGAAGTAGCCACAGACGACGACCGTGTAGACCTCCACGACACAGCACCAGCTCCCAAACTGAAGCAGTAACCCTGAGTCGAGCGCTGAGTCTCCACGTCGTCAGCGTAGGAAGAGTCGCAGTGACCAGTCAACGCCACTGGCTGAGTCCCCCCAAGCACAAGCCCCATGCCTGATGTAGTCGCGAGGTACTTCACCACCCTCACAGCAGCTGTCCAGTGGACAGGACGGTGTCTCCCAGTCGCAACAAAGCGAGAAAGGATGCTGAGGGGAAAGGCGAGGTCCGGCCGAGTACAAGTCATCAATTACATGAGGCAGCCCACCAGCTCTGCGTAGGGGCCACTGGACTCAAAGGGCTCGTCAGGAAAGGGGCCCGTGAGTCTGTGGTCAACAGCAAGAGGAGTGGGCTGAGTGGTGGAGAACTGGAAGTCGAACCGCCGAAGGACCTGCTGCACCATGTGTGACTGCGTCAGTGTGATGGTGCGAGCGGCTCTGTCCCGGGTGATCTGCAGGCCAAGGTAGCGCTGTAGTTCACCCAGGTCAGTGCACTTGTGTTTCTTCTGCAGTTCGGACTTCACCTGAGCCAGGGCTGCCCTGTTTGCTGTAGCAAACACCAAGTCGTCGACGTAGACAAGGATAAAGAAAGGAGTAGAACCCGCTCGAACAAACAGCGACGGGTCGGCGGAGGACGGGCTGAACCCAAGGTCACGAAGCGTGGAACGAAGAGTGTCGTGCCACTCACGGGGCGACTGGCAGAGACCGTAGACTGGTCGCCTCAGGCTCCACTGGGTCCCAGGTGGGAAGGTGTCAGTGAAGCCAGGAGGACGGCGCAGCCAGATCTCCTCGTGCAGTCGGCCCTGGAGGAAAGCCGTGGAGAAGTCAAGGGAGTGCAGCTCGTAGTCTCGCTGCGCTGCTATGTGGAGTAACACCCGAAGAGTAGTCATCTTCGGGGTCGGGGCGAAGGTCTAGAAGAAGTCAACTCCCTCACGCTGACGGAAGCCCCTAGCCACGTAGCGCGCCTTGAACACCGGCGGTGCTCCAGGCGGCCGCTTCACCTTGAAGAGCCACATGCCATCGACTACGTTCGCCCTGGGAGGGGGAACTGCGTCGACGTAGGTGCCTGTGGATCTCCAAGACGCCAACTCTAAGTCCATAGCCGCTTTCCACTTAGAGGAGTCGGTATGTCAAGGGCGTCGGGGTCTCCCTCAGGGGAGAGCAGCATGGCACACACAGAGGGAGAAGCGGTTGCCCAGTACTCCAGCTCAGACTCTCTGTCCTCTAGGACGTCACAGCCAAGGGCAAACCCACCCCCGACGGACAGAGGACGGTAGGGAGGAGCTGGCACCACACGGGTGGCGTAGTCAAGGCGGCTGGCGGCAGCAAACTCAGCGACAGCGGCAGTAAGAGCCGAGGCAGACGACGGTGGGAAACGAGAGTCGGTGACAAGAGTGGCGAGGACACGTGCGGCAACAGGACGAACATCGCGGTAGTAGTCAGAGATAGGAGTGGGGAGGGCTGGGAGAGAGGACGGAGGAGGAGATGGGAGAACGGACACAGGAGAAGGAGAACGACGATGGGACGAACAAAGGAGGGCAGTGTGGAGGACAGTAACAGGGGACGAGTGACGAGCACGCGGAGGACAACGAGTGATCAAGTCGTGACGGACAGAGGGAGGAGGAGACTGAGGAGGAGGAGAAGACCAGACGGCCGGACGGTCGTCAGGAGGAGGCAACGGAGGAACAAACACAGGAGGATACTGTGAGCGGACAGGAGGAGAGGAGGAAAGGCCAAGGGCCCGCAGGCCACTCACAGGTGGGAACAACTGCCGCTCCAGAGGAAGCTGCGGTGGCGGCTGCGGCTGCTGCTGCTGCGGCTGCGGCGGCGGCTGCGGCTGCTGCTGCTGCTGCTGCCGCTGCTGCTCCAGAAGGTCCAGCACCCGCAGCTCCTGCCGCTCCCTCTCCAACCGCTCCTGCTCCTCACGCTCACGCCGACGGGCAACCTGGAGACGCGTGTCGTGGCGGTGGGGAGGCGTAGTCGACTCCGCAGAACCAGGGTCTCCAACTCCAGTCTCCCCAGACTCAGCACCCCCAGAACCAACACCTCCAATGTCAGGACCTCCAACTCCAGCACCCCCAGAACTAGCACCTCCAGTGCTAGCACCTCCAACTCCAGCACCCCCAGAACGAGCACCCCCAGTGCCAGCACCTCCAGCTCCAGCACCCCCAGAGCTAGCGCCACCTGCGCCAGCCCCTCCAGCTCCAGCACCCCGCGAACGAACACCCCCAGACCGCGCACCCCCAGCGGCTGCACCTCCAGCTCCAACACCAACCAAGTCCACAAGAACCTGTCGCGGAAGTGCCGAAGGCTGCTGAGGGGACTGTGAGGAGGACTGCGGGGAGGGAGACGCCACCTGACGCGCGACCGAGGGTAGAGGGGTAGCGTGGGACACACCAGACGGGGCAGGACCAGGGGGGGGGACCAGACACTCCCCACTCCTCCTCCCTTCGTCCGGCCACCGCTCCCTTCGAGACTCTCCACTTGGACGTCTGGGGCCCTGCCCCGACGCAGGGGTCTGCGAGGGAGCGTTACTTTCTGGTGGTCGTCGACGACTACTCCAGGTACACCACAGTGTTCCCTCTTGCGAAGAAGTCCGAGGTGACTGCTACGCTGATCAGGTGGCTTCTAGCCACTGAGGGCACTCGTGGTCGTCGAGTCAGTTGTCTCCACTCCGACCGTGGGGGCGAGTTTCGCTCCGGCATTCTCGGCGGATTTTGCGGCGAACAGGGCATCACACAGTCCTGGACGTTCCCGGAGTCCCCACAGCAAAATGGGGTTGCTGAGTGCCGCATTGGCTTGGTCATGGACATCGCCCGCACGTCCATGATCCATGCCCGTGCGCCCCATTTTCTGTGGCCCCACGCGGTTCGCTACGCCGCACACCAGCTGAACCTCCAGCCGCGTGTCTCGCGGCCCGAGGCTTCACCGACCAGTCTTTGGACTGGTTCCCCTGGTGTTGGGTCGGCCTTTCGAGTCTGGGGCTGCCTTGCGCTTGTTCGCGACACCTCTGCGGACAAGCTCTCGGCACGCGCCGTCCCCTCTGTCTTCCTTGGTTTCCCAGTGGACTCTGCCGACTGGTCCTTTTACCACCCGCCCCTCCACAAGTTCCTAGACTCCCGTGACGTCCGGTTTGACGAGTCTGTGTCCTACTACATCTGGTACCCCTGTTGAGGTCTCCCGGTACCCCCTCCCCCCCTTTTCCTAGCACCCTCTCCTCCTCCTGCTCCTGCGCGTAAGCGACCGGCGACGCACGGAGA